CTTTGTGCCAAATTTCATTTTAATATCTTTATTTACGGCTTAGTTATGACATTTTATAGGTTTTCGGTTTCCGCCATTTTGTGGGCGTGGCAGTGAGTTCCACGTGGCCGCAGGTGTACATACATATATTATATTATATTTGTTTGTATAATAATTGTACAATTTTGAAGTACGGTTTATTTATAAAAGTGGAACAATTATTTTCATTTCAGCACACAACTGATGCGTAAACATTCAGCTGGAGAATAACAAAGTAAAGATTTAAGAAAAAAATAACAAACTACAACAACACTACCACCACTAGTACATATGTATATTATAAACTCAAATCTACTGAAACATTTCTTAACCAATTTTTACTAAAACCTATAGTATTTTTTATTACGACTACTATAAATATAGAAACTTTACACATACGTCGAATGGCCACAGGCGTATAATACAACAACATTCCGCAATACTGCAAGGCAATTCAAAATCCTACAAATCAATATACACTATTGAAAGTACAAAAATTCCATTGTAAACATTCAAACATAATAATAAATAAATAAAAATAAAAAAATAAAATCATAAATAAAACGTCAAAAACATGACGGAAACTGATGCATTTAATAATGATGAGAAATCGAAAAGAAGTCGGCGGCACAATAGTCGTCGACACAGCACCAGCAGCAGCGTTAGCAGCGGCAAAGGTGGTAGACGGCATCGCGCACGTAAGAGTTGCTCAATCGGCGCATTCATTAGTCAACTACTCTTCAATTTTATTAGCAAAATCATACGTCTCATATTCCAACTGATCTATGGTGTAAAAGGTGAAACTATGCCTGCCATTGCTGATCCCGTTTTGCTCGAATCCGCCACATCGCTAGCGCGTAAGATACGCAAACAGGAGGTGAGGTCTTCCATTTATTCTGCATATATGAGAATTTCTGACTTTATTTTTTTAAATATTTCTCGGAAAAAATAGTTGTCAAGCGTGCAGGTAATGGAATCATTTATACGCCGCATTAAAGATGTAAATCCGAAGCTCAATTTCTGTGTGGACAATCGATTTGATGAGGCGCTGAAAGAGGCTGCCGAAGCTGATGAACTCATCAAATCCGCCAAATACACCGAGGAGGAATTAGAGAAGACAAAACCATATTTGGGCGTGCCAATATCAACTAAGGACTGCATTGCGGTGAAAGGTTAGTAGATTATTTTTATTTCATATGAATTTCGTTATTCGAATGTTATGTATTATCAAGAGATTATTTTTCAAGTGGCAGTTATTTATTTAAGTTTAATTTAGTATGCAATGACAGTTTAGAATTGCTTTTAGACCGATGAATATTGAGAGCAATCAGGAGTTGTCAAACTGAGATTAGCCAAATTAGGATAATCAGTAAAAAAAAAAGTACTTAAAGAAAGAAATGTAATTCATATTGTTGCTCGTAAGCCTTAAGTTTCGTGGTCAAATTTCATTCACGCTTATTTTGAAATAGAATTTTGTAAACCAACAAACTTCAATTTTCAAATCCCYACATGGTGGATGAATTTTGTGGGAAAATATTTTATGTCAAGGAGTTTGACATTTCCTGTAATCGAATCGAAATTTAAATTATTTCAAGATTACTGGACCTTACCGGAGTCAATATTGAAAGTAATATAAGTATGTGGACATTGTCAGTAATGCATAATGCAGCAAATATTTCGATAATTATATATATAGTTGAATAAATCTTTCACAACTATTTTCAGGTCTTCTGCACACTGCCGGTCTGTATGCACGTAGAGATGTGCGCGCCACTGAAGACGCCACTGCCATGTCATTGATGCGACAGGCAGGTGCTATACCCTTCGCGATCACAAACATCTCGGAGGTTTGCATGTGGTGGGAGAGCAACAATGTCGTGCACGGACGCACGCGCAATGCATACGACTCAAATCGCATTGTCGGTGGTTCAAGCGGCGGCGAAGGTTGCATACAATCGGCGGCCGCTTCACCCTTTGGTCTAGGTTCCGACATAGGCGGCTCTATACGCATGCCAGCATTCTTCAATGGTGTGTTCGGTCATAAACCCAGCAAATTAATCGTTTCCAATAAGGGTCAATTTCCAATGCCATTCACCGATGAGCAAAACTCGTTTTTAGGTATTGGACCTATGTCACGTTTTGCTGAGGACCTAAAGCCCATGCTGCGCATTATTGCTGGCGAAAAGGCCAAGGAATTGCGTTTAGACGAGCCAGTCGATTTGCAAAAGGTGCGTTTCTTCTATCAGGAGAGCGATGGTGGCGGTCGCTTGGTTTCCCCTGTGGACGCCGATCTTTTGGCTGGCATGCAACGTGCCGTACAACATTTGCGACAGAAATTGAAGCCTGTTTCGGTGGAAAAGGTACAATTGGAACAATTTCGTCAGTCGACTATAATTTGGTTTGCCAATATGAAGGATGATTCAGGCTATACATTCGCACATCAACTGGGTGATCTCAAAGTCGCTATAAATCCCTATTTGGAGCTGATAAAATGGGTATTCGGCGCTTCCAAGCATACATTTATTGGTTTGATAACCGCAATTATGGATAGAACGCAAGTGCAATATGGTTCGAGCAAATACAAGCATATGGTCAAGAAGCGTGATGAATTGCGTGCCGAAATGCAAGAGCTACTTGGCGAAGATGGTGTTCTTCTCTATCCTACACATCCCACCGTTGCACCATACCACAATGAACCCATCTTCCGACCCATAAACTTTTCCTATACAGGCATTGTAAATGTATTGGGTTTCCCCGCCACTGCCGTGCCTCTGGGGCAACTCGGTAGCGAAGGTGTGCCTTTGGGCTTACAGGTGATTGCCAATTTCAATAACGATAGGCTGTGTCTGGCAGTTGCCGAAGAATTGGAACGCGGTTTCGGTGGTTGGGCGCGTCCCGAAGTGAAAGTTTAGTAGTAGTTCTAAGCTTGCCGATGTCACAAGATTAGTTAATATCTAATTACATAATTGTTATACTATCTATATTACATATGTGCATGTAAAGTTCTTAAAGTGAGGTTTTGTTTTAATATATGGGTAGATATTTGGAACAACGCAGGCATACAGTTATGCATACGTACATATGTTATGAAAAGAAATTATATTTTTTATGCAGATATAATTAAATTTATGCACGCCAATTTATATGTATTTACGTGTACGTGGGCATGTCGAATTGTCTTTGATATACAACTTATATTATATACGACTACATGAGTAAGATGTAATTTAATGAATACATATGTATGTATATACAAGTAACTTTACATCCATATATACTACAAGTAACTGTTAAGCATTTAAATGCGTTAAATAGACTAACATGTTGGTATTACAATAAGTTACCAGTAAACTGTATTTAATTATATACATACGTGAATTTGTTTGTATTAAAGTAAATATTTTTATAAAATAAAATATGTATACGTACTTATGTGTATCCGTAAAGGTAGAATTATTTACAAGGGAAAAGTGCTTTTTCTTACTCAATATATACAATAATATAAAATACAAAACGTTAATCTATTTSCTTAACTTGACCGATCTTATTCGTTTGTAAGAGCGCATCGGAAGATTTGAGGATCTGTGCTGTCTTTAAGGATATATAAAAAAGGTAAAATGTGACATTATTTTACGGACAGTTGGGATTGGCAGTGTACGTTTTTGGCTTTTCCTTCCCAAAGGATTATTTTTCGCCATAATAAACTTTAAACTTTATGAGAATAAGGTTTCGACATTCAATCAAAAAATGTTCAAACCAAACCSGAGGTGGCGGTTTGAACAAAATGTATTGATTTTGGCTCTTTTTTTTCGACAGTTTTTCCTAGAAAAAATAGGGAGATTTCAAAAAAAAAGGGGAACGAGAGAGAAAGCTTCCATATCGCAATAGACAATGACGTTAAAACTATTCTAATTGGAACTAGATATCTTCAAAACTTTTCCTTTGATGGTTTAAAAAAAAAACGATTTTTCGAATATTTCACACTGATACGATCCCTTAATTGGCTAAGAGGATTAGATGTATATGTACGTCTGTATGAAGGAGCGTTTTAAAAACTCGCTACCCATCGTAAGTATGCTTCATATTCCGCCATTAAAAATTTTTTATGAAAATATTATTTATTTAAGTTTACCAATAGCCCATAAATGACATAATGCATATTTTTCCGTGATACGAGTTGTAGTTTTTATTAAAAATTATAGTGAATTATTTCTAAAACTAAATAAACATTTGAAGTGTAAGAATGTAATTAAGGGCAATGAAAATGTATTTTTAACCCATACAATATTTGTATGCGTTGGTTGCATGCAAAATCATTTCAATGTAATATTAATTAATATATTTTGCGAGTCTATGAGTTTAAATCGTGCTATGCACATATTGGATAAATAAATGATACATACGTTTGCGAAAAGCATTTTGAGGGGAATAGTTAGCAGTAGGAACTTAGCGGCAATTCATTGTTGGAAAAAAGTGAAGCATAAAACTAATATAGCCTAATATTACAGGGTTGAAATGTTGCTTTTTCACATGCCTCTTATAATGTATGTTCGTATGTATATGGTTATTGTATTTTAGTTACATATATTTTATATATGGTACTCTATAAATAAGAAGTCCTTTKCATATAATTAAAATTATGGTTTAATGTAAATTTTGTTGTATTTATTTTATACCTTTTCAAATGGATTTTAGTTTGGAAATTCGAAAGTCTACATTTTTCAAATCGATGTTTTTCAAGGAAATTATATATCTTGTATTATTATACACACTTGTAAAACGAGATTTTATATCAAGTCAGTAGATTACCATTTTTCATTCGGTTTCATTGCAATTTTTAACACAGAAGATACTAATTTATTTATTATTTTCGTTTATTTCTATATCTATCCCTGTGCTTTCCTAATAAAAAAAATAATTACTTTTTAGCGATAATTTTTCGCTCCTTTCTTTAACAGCCGCAATCAGATTATATCTCACCGTACGTTTCGGTGCAGTAGAGACCTTAATTTCTTCATCTTGCTTAATTGCTACTGTATTGTTTATACCTTTCCTCCCAATGATTGAATTAATTTCAATAGTTCGGATCGTTTTGCGCTTATTATATCCTGATGTAGTGGACCTACACCCTCCACACACTCATATCTGTTAACATAGTCAGCTATGTTGTCTGTCATACATATAACATGTATGCCACAATCGTATCCATTTGCTTGTTGTAAGCAACGTATGGGTTTTATATGGCATTGGCGGCAATTCAAGGCAACTTTAATTTGATGTACGAATTGTTGGGATGCTAACGAGTTATTGTTACCCCACGAATCAAAATGGAAGAACGTCTTTTCTGGACGTGAAAAGACCAAGAGTGACCAGTGTGTACCACCCGCTTGTGTGGATTCATTGTCGTTGAGTGCAAAAAAAATAAATTGTTTTCGTGGCGCTTCCAATTGGTTGAATACGGTTTCCAATTCGTCGTCATCTGTTAGTTTCATACATTGTGTTACCTCCGGAGCGACAAACAATAAATCTGGATTATTTTTATATTTTACTTTTTCCAGGTATTCATAATAAAATGAAAGTATTTGGTCGTTCAACCAATGCGGCCCTTGTAGTAATTGTACATCGCTCATACGAAGACATGTGTCGTTAAAGCTAAGCGCTATAGGATCGGCGTGGGTGTAGGAACTCATTTTCACGGTTGCTTCTACCAACGTCCGAGTGCTATCTCTGCTGTTGCACTTTAACTGCCAATTCCCTTGATTTATTGTTCTCTTCTACACGGCGTATGATAATGCTTTAGGCTTGAGATAACTTTTGTCAAAGTTACTTTTACTTTTCTTTCTGTTGCATTAATATCGCTGTAATTGTCGTCAAGGCGTTTCAAATCATTCATGTACATACGCAAGTATATATACATATACAAATTATCGTATAGTTGTGGTTTGTTACATGAAAACATGAAATTTTAATATGAATAGTTATTATCAACGGCTTTTTCAATGGTTACGAAATTTTGATTGCTATAACACATTTTACCTATTTTGATAATGTATGCAAAACAGCTTTGCAGCTTGCCTTTTCTTTTAATTTCACAAAATATATAGAAAAGTAAACTTAAAAATCACTTTTACTTTTTTGTGGACAACTGCTTTTTGCGAATTAAAACGCAATAAAAAGAACAAAAAATGCACTTTTCGCTCTTCTATTTTGTTCTAGGCTTCGTTTTTTGTATCAAACAATGCGGGAAAATATATGCGCTTATAAACGCCGGTATGAATTCAAGCGGCGATTTAATAAATATATGGCAGCTATGTAATGTGGTTGTTGCCAACCCTTTAGAAATGGCGAATAGGTTAATATATTACATTAAGAGGTTAGCTTTGAATGCGGATTAGAAACTTTGAAAATTTTTCATTTGTATTCTTTTAAATTAACTTAGCTTTGTTAAGTTAGTTTTTAAAACCTAAAGAACTGTGGCGTATGTAAATAAAGGTTTACGAAAAGTTCAACATCAATAATTTTTTACTAATATATAATTTTCCTTTAAATAATGATATAGGCAACTCTAAGCAAAAAGATACCAAAACAAAATTCAAATTGGCGAGTGKTCTATACTTGCTTCTACAATTGCGAAAAGTGAAAAAATATCAAGAGAAGGAATTGTATGAAACGGCAATGTCAGTGAGAGTTTCAGGAACTTACCAAAGTTTGTTTGATTACTATTGCACTATACGGAGTCTTATTACACAAATAAAAACAATATAATTTCAAGCAAGCTCTTTATTTATATAGTATATTATGATGAGTTCTAAGAGAATGAAGGAAATCAAATATACTACAGCTGTTAGAACGATTTCGCAGAATTCTTATAAAGAAGGATACAGAGTTGCATGCTACAACATTAACCCTTAATAGAGCCGTGAATTGAATGAATCATTTTCGGCGTTTTTAAGCAATCATAAAATATTTATTAAAAACTTTATTAAATAATCAAAATTTTTACACTTATATTTTACACTTTTAATCATTTAWTTTATATTGAAWAGAGCAAAAATAACTTTAATTCCATATCAAACTTTAGTTAAAATCYATTTATTCATAAAATAAGAAAGTGGTTGTAAACAAGCAAAAAATTAGTGTTATCGTATTTTGTAATGGAATAAAAATAAGAAAAAAGAAAGATTATGACGCCATAACTAAATTCATTAACGTGTGGTGAGTAATGTAAATTCTTTCAGAATTCTCATTATCTTGACAAATCCCGGTGTTCGATCGGGCAAAAGGGAGTTCAACGCAAAAGAACTGAGCACGCAGAGGTGTTGGTCCGACCGAGGGTTATTTTTTTGAAGCGTGGTTAATAAGTGAAGTGTTAGTGGATATAAAAGTTAAAAATATAACCATAAAATTCTTTATAAATGGGAAAACACGCATTTTAAATAGTTGAATTTGTGAACGTTAAATGCAAATATCTCAAAAACTATAAATCAGCGGCAACTAGATATATATACTTTCTTAATCTAGAGGACCTCCTCTATCCGTACATACCGATTTTAATCCCGAAATCTGGGGATGCTATTCTAAAATTTACCCGATATTTCTTTTAATTAACTCTCATACATTATCAAATACTTTTTTATTTTCATTTTGCATTGTAAATTTCTATTGAATCTGTATATATACGTCCATTCGAACTCTCATTTAAGGTTTTCCTAACACTTTAAATGATGAATGATGCAATAGAGGTCCGTTGTTTCATCAAAGTTGTTTTTCTATTTAGCGATTAAAAGATTACAAATTGTCTGGCAAGTAATTTTTAATAAATGATAAACTTCCATTATTTTTTTCTTAAAATTATCCAGACACTTTTTAATATTTCTTTAAATTTCATGTTGGGAGTGCTTCGCAAGCGTCTTATATAAAATATTTTTAGTTCTATACAAAAAGATTTATTGTYTTCAAATTTGCTGTGCTAAACATAAAAAACTAGTCAAAACAAGATTTTGTTTTTTCAATTCTTATCAATTTAGGAACGATATTTACACCTTCATATATAAGCATATATGTATATATGTACATACATATATAGCTGAAAAAAATAATAGTTAAAAAATACACAGTAAAACCAATATATACATTTATATGACCAAGACCAAGCATAAATTATACTAGTATCTAAACGGACTCACTATAAGCATYGCAAGCACAAATCCTCATGCTTAACCTGGAAATATGTCTGTCAAAAAGTGCAAAATAAAAACAAGCTGTGTGTATATTGCACACAATTGCTGAGAAACGATTCTAAATATGTATGTATCGTTATCAGCGAAATATTATTTAATTTTTTATGATTTCGTGTCTCTTCGCGTGAAAATATATGCACCAGCAATAATAAACACATCGAAATCAAACACAATCGTCGGCGAATTTC